ATGAATTTAAATGTCTATTTCCTTCCCTAGATTAGGAAAGTTTCCAGCTATAATTCTTCAAATAAATTTTCTACCACCTTCTTCCCTATAATATGAATGCTTGTTCACTTGATGCTGTCCAACAGATCTCTCAACCTATCCTCATTTAAAAACTTTATTTTTGGGGTGGTGTCTGGCTGGCTCAGTTGATGGAGGTTGTGACTCTTGATCTCAGGGTCATGAGTTCAATTCTTATGTTGGGCATAGAGTTTACTTAAGAAAAATAAAATTAAAATAAAAAAATTATGTTTGCTGTTCAGCTTGGGTTCTTTCCATTATCCCATCTTCCATATCATTCATCTGTATCCATTAATCTACTTGTGATTCCTTCTAGTGTTTTCCTTTTCATGTATATTCTTTAGCCTTGGTTCTTTATATTTTCCAGGTGTTTGTTGAAGTTCTCACTGAGTTCTTCTACTCTTCTCTCCAGCCCAGTGTCCATCTTTATGATCATTACTATAAATTTTTCATCAGACACATTGCTTATTTGTTTCATTTCTTTCTTTTTCTGAGGTTTTGTCTGGTTATTTGGGGGCACATTCCTTTCTTTCTCTGTTTCGATTGATTTTGTGTTTGTTTCTATGAATTAGGCAGAAAAGCTACTTTTCCTAAACTTGAAGGAATGTTCTCGGTATGTGGTTGTCCCCTGTGTAAACTGTATATACCTGGTGACTTTTACTGGCTGGCTGGAACTGTGGCTGGAGTGGGTTAGGGATTGCAGGGTGCCCTCTGCTGGGGCTGCACTAGTGGAATGGTTGGAGATTAAGTGAATGTGGGCTGGGGGTGAGTCCTGAGGCTTTTTGCAGAGGGTGCCCTGGCAGGACAGCTGAGGGTAAATGTGTTCAAGCTGGGGTCTCTCCTCACAGGGTGCTTTGACAGGACAGCTAATGCTGAAGGGGATGCCAGCAAGTAAGTCCCTGGGCTCTATGCAGTGGATACACCACAGGACACCTGTAGCTGAAGTGGTTGTAAGCTATGGGTAGTTCCAGGGTTCTCTGTGGACACCCTGGCAGAATGGCTGAAACTCAAGTGGGGGTAAGCTGGGGTGTTCTGGAGTGTGTGAAAAATCCCCTGGTGGGGCTAGCCCATAGCCAAGGTGGTTGCTGGCTGGAGGGTCCTTCGGTGCTTTGTGTAGGGCACCAACTAGGAAGGATAGTTATAGCGGATATGGGCATGGACTGGGATTGCCATAGGGTCCTCTGAAAGGACAGATGAAGCAGGTGTAAGCCAGGGTGTCCTGGCAGGGCAGCTGGAGCTGAAAAAGGCATCAACCAGGGGTGCCCTAGAGAGCCATCTGAAGCCAAAGCAATACAGGCCTGCAGTGTTCCAGGGTACTTTGTGCCTGCCTCAGTGTCGTGAGAGGGCTAGATCTGTAGTGAGCACTGACCAGGGCTGTCCCAGTGTGCGCCACCATGGAGCTGCTCTTGTAGGACAGCGAGGTTGGTGTGGGTTGGGGGCCCATGGCTCACTGGGGTGGTAGGCTGCTTTGTGTACCCATCTATGCTGTCAAGGTGGTGGGGGAACGTAAACTGTGGCACTCACTGGACCCTCCAACCAAGAGAAAGTTGGAACAGCTTCCCTGCCAGTTAGCAGGGTTCAAGGGCTATTTTCTTTATATTCTGGTTGTTCTTTTAAGCCATGCCTTTTATTTTCTGTGGCCCAGCATAGATGAATCTGTTCCTGGTACCTTATTACTATCCTCTGCACTGCAGTTTGCAGCATCAGAGGTGGGGTCACCCTTTGTTACCATGTCTCAGTCTCTCTTGTACAGAAGCTGTTCAGTCAGCCCTCAGTTCTTCTTCAGGAGGAATTCCCTGTCAATAGGTATAGATTTGGTGTGCCCATGGAGGGGACTTCAGGATCTTCCTGTATCACCATCTTGAACTGGAACACTCCCTAGTTCATTGTTCTTTAAACTTAATAGGCTAGGGGTACCTGGATGGTTCAGTGGGTTAAGCCTCTGTCTTCGGCTCAGGTCATGATCTCAGGCTCCTGGGATCGAGCCCTGCACTGGGCTTTCTGCTCAGCAGGGAGCCTGCTTCCCACCCCCCCGTCCCCCCCGCTGCCTGCCTCTGCCTACTTGTGATCTCTCTGTTAAGTAAGTAAAATTAAAAAAAAAAAAAAAGAACAGGGTAATATATATAACTAGGACTACATGAGGGCAATAGTAGGCCCCAGAATGGATTAAGCAAGCTGTGAATAGCATTTTCTAGATTCAAAAGTAACTCAAAGTTTTGAAACAATTGGTAAGGGCACCTAGGTAGCTTAGATGGTTAACTGTCTGCCTTCAGCTCAGGTCATGATCCCAGGTCCTGGGATCGAGTCCCACATCAGGCTTCCTGTTCCTTGGGGAGGCTGCTTTTCCCTCTGCCTGTTTCTCATGAATAAATAAACCTTTAAAAAAATTATAAATAAAAGGAAAAGGGATAGGTGTATTCATCTACTTTATATTGCTATACTAAGGGCATGTTAAATTTTTAAGAAATGGAGAGGTTTACATTCCTCTGAACAGAAATACTATATAAGAAAAGGCCAATCTCTAATACTTTATAGTCACTGGGAAGAGACATTTCATGCAAAAGAGAGATTATAGTCAGGTTTTTTTTAAGATTTTATTATTTGAGAGAGAGAAAGAGAAGAATACGAGAGAGCACAAGCAGTGGAGAGGGAGAAGCAGGCTTCCCGTGGAGCAGGGAGCCCGACACAGGATTTGATCCTAGGACCCTGGGATCATGACCTGTGCCAAAGGCAGACACTCAACGACTGAGCCACCCAGGTGCCTGAGTAGTCAATAATTTTTGAACCAGATAATGGCTAACCACTCATAAGACACTAACTTAACAATATCTCAATGCTGCATTTTAACTTTTTTCATCCTATGTGTATGCTGTGTCTGAAGAGCTGGACTAACCAGTTCCCCGCCTCACAGAGTTCTGATGCCTCGGTGGGTGAAGGAGGTCATTATAATTTTCACTTTGCAGCTAGAGAAACTTGTATAGGAGTTTATTACACTGCATTATACTGACCACATTAACAGGAGTCTGATATATATAAAAATCAGGGTGCTAGAATCAACAATTACTAATATCTGATCAGGACGTTCTTATCTCTGAATCTGAGTATGGAGGAAGCCATAGTTTTCAGAATATTGCCCAATGAGCACAAATCAGGTAAATATGAAAAACAGACTGATTCTCTCATAAATCTGTCATGTCTGGCAAACACCCTGGTTTGTAGAGCATACCCCAATGCCTTCTGGTAACCAGCTTATTTCCTTTACATCACTGTAAATTCAACAGTGTCTTACAGAGACTATAACTTAGTGACAGACTTGAGTTATACCCTAGTTTTTGTCCCTGATGGGCTTTATATTAACATATAATGTAGTATTTATTCCAGGGGTACAGGTCTGTGACTCATCAGTCTTACACAATTCACAGCACTTACCATAGTACATACCCTCCCCAATGTCCATCCCCCAGCCACCTTGTCCCCACCCCTCCCCTCCCCTCCAGCAGAGACTCTTAATCTCAGGAAACAAACCGAGGAATAGCCTAGTTTAGATTCAGAACAAATTACATCAGTGTTCAGGTGGCTCATGTTGATGACTTATAAGCCAGTTTAACCACTTAGACTAGCCTGTCCTTAATTTCTAAATTCCAGTTGCCAGGTCTCAGTACGGCATGTGAAAGCTTGTCACGGCACACTGCAGAGATCTAATCAAGATCCTCAAGTAGGCAGAGGACCCTCCACTGGAACCGAGAGTGGTAGGTGTTGCTCCTCCCAAACTTCTAATGAAGACCTGGTAAAAATTATTGCACTTTCTTCTACAGCAGTATCTTAAGTATATATAAATCCATTTCCTGTCCTTTAGTGTTGTCTTTATAATTGTTTCTTATAATTGCAACAGAACAAGTGGTTTTTATGTGGTTAAAATTTACAAATAACAATTTATAGAAAGTATGTTTTGTGCAAGTTTAAATCAGTATATTAAAATTACTGTACTTTTTTTTTTTTTTATAAATTTGATTGTTGGCCTATACCTTCCACAGAGATTTCATATTTCAAAATAGCACCTAAAGCTAACCTGAATAGTGATAGTGATGCATATCTTATTACCATGAAAATAAAGAAGCCTATGCAGAGGTAACTGTTTCAGGGTAACTGGCTATTAATTTTTATATACTGAAAAAAACATATTAAAGCTTAAAGGGATGCTGTAACCCTGTCCTGGGTCCAGTGGAGCATACCTTTGTTTTTTTCTGTAGAGATATTAAAGAATGGAATTTAGTCTACCTTTTTAAAATATAGACTAGGGTTTCTAACCTTTCAAAAGAGGAAAAATCCATTTTTGTGCTAATTTGTGACGCACCCTGCCCTCACAATATTGGTTGTGATCAACACTGGTTGAGAAATGGGCCTGTGCAGCAGAGGTTGAGAACCAACGACTCACACACTAAATACTCTCAAGCCTGCAAATGCATGCCATGTACCACTGTCTCTGACCGCACATCCCTTCCGGATAGGGCTCATATTTGAGTACATACTTGAAGATAAAAAACCAGACTACTAGATACTTAACTAAAGAGCTGATATTTAACCTGAAGAGAAAATGGAACTGCTGAGTTTTGACCACAATGTTTGCTTTATTTGTAGACTGAATCATCTCAAACTTGGATTCTAAAGGAGCTGATAAAAAGGAGGAAGTAAAAAACTCAGGTAACTTCCAGAAGTGTGCAAATCTGCTTCAGCAATCATGAGATGGGTGTTTATATATTTTCGCAGAAAACAGTTTATGCATGTATACACCATTATTTTGTAGTTAAAAGTTTGAGACAATTTTATTAATATTTTATACATATGGAACTTATCTCTGAAGTACTGGACTTGAACATTTCAGATAATTTATAAAAACTTACAGTACAAAAGGAGAAAAATACTCAAGTTCACATAACTAAAACTCTTGTGCCTTGACATGTTTTTATTTTCTTTTGATATAACCAACATTTGATAGCAAAGTTATGTGGAATATTTTACAAAAGCTGATTACAGAAAGGGAGTGATTTCAACTCATAACAGCTATAGAATCCAAACGTAAATAGAATAAGGGATCAATACAAATGATATTAGCAAGTAAGATATTGCTACACCTCTATGTAAAACTATAAGCCTCTTGAAACCATAACCCTGACATTGCACAATCAGAATGACTAGCGTATCCGACCAAATTGTTGGCTAAGTAGGTAACAACCTAGCTTAATCAGAAATGAGTAACCTAAATTCTTTCATTTTTGTAAGTGCTTTTGTTATATTTTAATCTTTTCCCACTGAAATCATTATTACTTCTGTATTCTTAACTTCATTAAATCAGTGTATTACCTTATTGTGACTTAGTGTTTGGAACTTTACGTAGTTCTTGAAATGCCTTTAATCAAAATAATCTTCTAAATCAATATTTGGATCTAGCAGATCTTCTCCATATGATGAAAGATCTGTTTGATTTAAAATTAAGTTTTCAAATGTTTCTTCTAAGTCAGTTTCACCAATTAAGACAGCTCCCATCATTCGCCCATGCTGCATGACGACTTTGACGTATTCGTGTCCTTTGGTACATCTCAGCATTAATTCATGATCTGAACCTAAGCCCTGTGCGTTGTATTTTCCCAGCAATACAACCTATAGATAGGGATAAAAACATTATTGTAATGAGTACCAACAAGGAAACACTATATATGTACATGTATGTATGTATATGTGTGTGTGTGTGTATATATATATATACATATATATGTATATATATATACTGTGTTGTTAACCTAGAATCTATTCACAAAAATTGGGGAGTGTCCCAAAGAAAACATTTGAATGGCACTGCATTTGTTGTATGGATGACACCACCCCACAGTCTCTGAACATTAAAAATATCTAATGAATTAACATATGTAGGATCCGGACTACATCAGCTTAGAGTCATGAAGAAAAAACTTACCTCAGAGTAATGTGAAGAGTAAATAATATTCATGGCAAAGCACCTGGTTCATTCTTAAATATAACAGCTATTGGTTCTCCCCACAAAGAATGAATCTCAAAATGTACCAACAGGGAATAAGCCTCTTTAGAAGAGACTTTCCCCCGCTCATGGGTAAAACAGTATAGCACAGGAAGGTGGATAATGAATAGGAATTAAGACCAGCGGTAGTAACAGGTACTGATTTCCAAGAAATAAGGAAATGAGAAGATGTGTCATTTTTTGTAAAATAATTATCTAATTTTCTCATCTGAGTAAGTATTTACATGGTTTTCGTTTTAAGACTAACAAGCAGGAAAAGGCACTGATTTGCTTATCTTACCTTATAGTTAAAAAATTTTGTTACATGAGCAAAAAGCTCAAAGCTGAAGTCCATGTCAATAGATTCTCCTAAACTAGCTGCAGCCATGCACTTCGCTGCATACCAACCCATCTGTCTAGCCTGGGTCCACAGCCTCATCTGAAAGAAAAAAATGTCATGAGAAAATTTTTCATTGTTCTTACTTTAAAGATGCCTTACAAAATTCCTTAAAGGACTTCAACGTTGACAGTCCTTGAGCCTGGCTAGATCTAGCGAGTTAGAGGACTAGTTGGATTGTCTTTGCTGTAGAAGCAGTCACCAATCCGTCCTAACTAAACCCGATTTTGCTATTTGATAATTCTATCCAAATTACTGCCTTTCAAATTAAAAGATGATTACCAAATCTGTTTCAATAAACTATTACAAATAACTAAAACATTTCAGGGTATACCAGGTAAGAATACTACTAATTAACTAGTCTCCTTTTTCATTGTAAGTTTAATCATCAGCGTTAAGTAGAGACAATAGATGATCACTGAAGAATTCATTTCTTCTCCTAATCCTCAGATTTTGGTGCTACATAGTTAAGGCCTCCCATGCAGTTAAATTGACGTATTAGTTGGGTGTACAGCCTTAGGAAATCTTACCAGATTTCAATAACTGATGCTGGGAATTTTAAATTCTTCCCTTACATTATTTATTTATTCTTTACTGTATGTTTATTTCTACAAAGTTTTAGGAATCCCTGATACAACACTGGCTGTGAAAGTCAAGAGATTTAAATATCAACTCTTCTACATATTTATTAACAGCCTTAATTTCTTCACCTGAAACATAAATATACACCACCTATTCTCCGGCTATTGAGAGAATTAAATAAGCTAATGTAGGGTCCTGGATCATGTAAAACTGACTGGTATACCTATTTATTGCTTCTACAAATTAAGAGACAAGATCTATTAGATTCACTCAGAACGAGACACCTGTTTTGTTTTTGGATATTGCCTGTAGCAGAGTATGACACATAATAAGGATATAATTTACCCTAGAGGGTTTAAAGTGTTTAAAAAAATCCCACAGACTTGAAGACAGCTATGCCACAGAAGTCACAGAATGTAGGAAAAACTGAAAACAAGCTCGCACTTTCAAAACAGGCCAAAAGCACTCTTTCTATGACTTATCTCTGTAAAAACACGTAAGTGTTGAAGGTGCCTCTCAGACTACATCTAGCCCTTCTGCTACTTCACACTCCATAGTTAATCTGAAGGAGTAAAATCTACCTGTGGAGCTGGTTTTTCACTGAGTGTTACCTGGTTCTTTTATCTGTGATGTCTACCTGCATCTCTACTCCTCCTAAGCCTATGACTACAGTCTGAGTATCTTCCTGAAGGATTCTGCTCCACTCTGAAGAGGCAGGCAGCACCATGATGGCAGGAGGACGTGGACATCCAGTTGGATGGAGTTGTTAGGCTGAGGAAGGCTGTTCAGTATAGGAAATTTTTTTAGTCACAATTCCCAGAGGGACAGAACTGGTCATCAGGATCCCACAGGGTCATCATCTATATGGTTTATACCTCAGTATGTTATTTATTCATCTAAAGCTGCGCTGTCCAGTCTGGCAGCCACTAAATGTAATGTAAGTAAAATTAAAATTCAGTTCCTCAGTCACATTCAGCACATTTTAACAGCTCAACAGAGACATGTAGCTATTGAGTAGACACTATAAACATACTGAATGTTTCTGTTGTCACAGAGTTCCACTGCACAATGCTATTAAATGTATGAAGGTAAGACATCCCAGTGTGTTCCATCTCTATTTAATAACTTGCCAAAAGGGAAACATTATTTTAAAAGGTCACAGAAAACTCTAGGATAGCTTCCTACTTAAGTGGGAAAACCAGAAATTTGGATTTGCTGGTAGCGACTCCTTTACCGTCAGATGGAATCTGAAAAATCAGATACAAAGGTGTGATGATGGATGCCAGCTTACCTGCTGCCACACCGGGCTGGGCCGCCAGGATGCAGTGCAGATGTCACCAGCGGCGTAGACATCAGAGAGAGATGTGTGCATATAAGCATCCACCTTCAGGCCACCATCTTCTCCTAGAGCAAACTAAATGAGGTTCCTGATAAGTATACATGGGAAGAAAAATGAAAGATGTCTTTTTTGTTCTAAAGTAAAAGACCAAGTCAAATTTTTATACCTCGGTATGCTGTCTTTAGTGAGAGAGTAAAAAACAGCTGCAAAGTTTAGATAACTCAGCTGAATTATTAGGGAATCAAAATCCTACTAGGATAGACCCACTCAAAAATTCTCAAGACTTTCAACATCAAGAACACTCAGTAACCATAGTTACTACCCCACTTATAATTACAATATTCTTCAGTTTTGTGAGCTTCGAATGCTAAAAGGCAGTTTCTCTAAAAGAATCATTTGTAAGAATTCATAGGTGTTCATCTCATCAACCTTTAGACAAATGAACTGTGCATTATGTCCCACTTATGAGGAAACTGATGCTGGGATGTTTACCGCTTAAGGATTTTAGGTAGGCAATATGAAATACTACAAATAAAACATGACTGTACACTAAACTTAGCTTCCTTAAGTTACAGTTTTACACTAACACAATGAACACTTATTTATACTTGAATAGAAATTGAGAAATAGCAAATGAGAATTAGAAATCTCATACTACTTTAAAAATACTCATAGCAGGACAAAAAATTTCACCTTACATTGTTGCCACAGAGGAAGGGTTCTGTATTTGGTGTAACTCCTGTAGCACTGACAATGAAATCACAGCCGTATATCTTTTCATTAGTCAATTCCACATATACAGGCCATACCTCTTTAAAACAAACAGAAAAAAACCACCTTCATTCTCAAATGTTATCACCACCAGCTGTCATTAGCATGTGAATATGTAATGCCTAGAATAAAGAGTGAAAGAAAAAGGCAGGAGAGGACTTTAAAACATACCCCTAACTTTATAAGGCATATTTGCTTAAACAATTATAATGTAGTCAGCACTGTCTTCTTGTTTTGAGTATATTTACAAAATTATGGCATTCTAAACATCTTTCCTTCAAATTTAGACTACTTCCAACAAAATGATTTTAAGCCAATAACCATTTTATAAATTCTTTAAAACTATTAAGCTATTATACTCCACTAAGAGTTTAGTCCAAATTCTCACTTTGCAACGTTTTCCCTTATTACTCATATTCAAACTCTAACACTACCTTTTCCCATGGAAATATACAAAGAATTCAAAAACTGGAATATTTCATATGGCAGTCTAGCTGAGTTTATTTCTTCAAATGGTAGTAGTTCTCACAGGAAGTGTGGAATAGGGATTAGATCTGTTTCTTAATCCCAAATTTATAGATTTTCAATCTGTTTGATTTGGGGGAAGTCATTTCACCTCTGAGAGCATAAAGGCTTTGTTAGTTTATATTTGTTTTGATCTGTAATTGACTCAAAGAGTTGTGGCTATAGCATCATGAACCCCATGTAAAATTATTAGGAAGCTTGAAGACTTAAGTAATGAAAATGAAATGATTTACATTATTAATTAATGGTTTCATTTTTACTTTTTATATTTAAATTTCATATAGAAATTGAAGTTTTTAATATAGTAAGATTAAGGTTTCATCCTTTTAAATTACTGGTATTTTTAATTTTATTACTTACCATTATTGGTTGTGACTGACTGATTAGAATGGTCTCTAGGAAAAGGCAAGGACTTTTTCTTAGAAATTCTAAATTCCTCCTGAAGGAAGATTTTCTTTACTTCACACATAGTTTCAATGTGAATCTTATGAGAAAACTAAAATAACAAATTCCAAAAAAATGACTTAGGTTACTCGTAATTTTAAAAAATTACAATATACTTGCAGAAACATATAGAAAAAATAATTAATCTTACAGTATAAAGGAAAACACACTGGATGCCCCAAATTAAAAAGCCTCTCAATTTCTGTGCATGAAGGGAGTGAGCAGAAATCCATTCAGAACTTAAGAGAACAACTAGTTGCACTGGCAGGGGATGCATTTAAGTATAAATGATAATTACAAATATAGTGTTTAAAAATTACAACTGCTAGAGACTATAAAAGCCTCTTGAGGGCAGGTCCCTGCCAACTTACTGTAACATCCAGAACGTTAGTAAAGTGCCAAGTATAAAGGAGATAATGTTTACTGAACCAAACTGCTGAAGTTCTCAGGTTAAAAATACTATTAATCTTTGGATCTGAAGATGCAGGAAGAAATGATTTTATATAATTTCTATCACAAAAATTAGATATGCTATGAAGCCAGCTCCCCTCCAAACTACCCAGGGCTGTAAACAAATCATACACAGTGATGAGGACTCCACAGATGCTTCTTACAGTACTTAAATATCACAACCTTTTTAAACTATTTAAAAACAAATATCTAATAAATAAAATGAATAAAAGCAAGTCATCTGGGCGCCTGGGTGGCTCAGTGGGTTAAGCCGCTGCCTTCGGCTCAGGTCATGATCTCAGGGTCCTGGGATCGAGTCCCGCATCGGGCTCTCTGCTCAGCAGGGAGCCTGCTTCCCTCTCTCTCTCTACTTGTGATCTCTCTCTGTCAAATAAATAAATAAAATCTTTAAAAAAAAAAAAAAGCAAGTCATCTGCTTATCCAATTAGGATGTTAAATACGTATTTTATTTAGAATTCATCAAATAATCTTTAAGATACTATAATGCATGTGAAGTGACTTGAGAAAAAATTAATTTAAAAATAGGACAGTTATAGTCACTGTTGTCTGGGTCTGGAAATCTGTCTGCCTGGGGAACTAAACAGAAGGGCACGAATCAGTTTTAGATGAATGAAATACTTGTCTTTGGTAAGGAATTGGACCAATTGCCATTGGTATTGTCTGTCCTAGCACTTTGGATTTTAAGTAAAGTGACCCAGCAGTTGACGTATTTGTGACCAGTTTGTAACGAATAGTTTAAAACTTAAAATTGCATCTTAGGTTTAATTCATATATGAACACCTACCTCTTTTGTACCTTTAAGATTCAAGCCTTCATGCCAATCAGGTCCCAAAGCACTGCCCATATTGCCAGCACCAGCTGGGGTTTGTGTTTCCTTTTTCCTTCCTGAAGAAATAAACTCAACTCAAAATTCAAATGATCTAAAAACTGCCAGGCAGAGAAGTATGCTTTGTATTCTCAAGCTTTTAGGAAATGTTATAATTCTCATACGTACATATATGCAGCATGACTAAACTAAGATAATGTATGGATTATTTTATTATCTTAATATTTTATGATGTATGGATTATTATCTTAATATTTTGTGATATAGAGCTATAAAATGGATAATCTTTTGATCAAGTGTTGAGTTTAAACACAATGTGTTTTGGGGATGTTATATATACATCCCCAAATGTATGTTAAAGTGAAGGGTAAGAGATCTGATAAAAGGTTGATATCTAAAATATATAAAGAACTCCTACAACTTGGTAACAAAAATACAATCAAAATAAAAAATGGGCAGAGGACCCGAAAAGACATGTTTCCAAAGACAGCTGGCTAATGGGGACGTGACAAGATGCTCAGTATCATTAATCAGAGAAGTACAAATCAAAATCACAATGAGGTATCACCTTACACTTATAGAATGGCTAGAATCAAAAAAAAAGAAGAAATAACAAGTCTTGGCAAAGATGAGGAGAAACAAGATCCCTCATGCAGTGGTGGTGGGAATGCAAATTGCTACAGCATAAAAACAGTATGGAGTTCCCTCAAAAAATTAAAAATAGAATTACCAAAAAAACCCCCAAATTACCGTATGATCCAATAATTCTACTACTGGCTATTTACCCCAGGAAAAGAAAAACACTAATTTGAAAAGATGTATCAAGCCCTATGTTAACTACAGCATTAGTTACAACAAACAAGATATGGAAGCAATCCCGTGTCCATCGACTGATGAATGGATAAAGATGTGGGGGTATGTATGCAATGGAATATTACTCAGCCATTAAAAAGTATGAGATCTTGCCATGTGCAACAACATGGATGGACCTAGAGGATATAATGCTAAGTGAAATAAGTGAAAGACAAATGCCATATGATTTCATTCATATGTGGAATTTAAAAAACAAACGAGACAAAAATCAGACTCTTACATACAGAGAACTTGTGTTTGCCAGAGGATGGAGATATGGGTGAAATAAAGGGGATTAAAAGTACACCTTAAAAGTACACCTATCATGAGGAGCGCGGAGTAATATACAAAATTGTTGAATCATTTTATTGTACACCTGAAACGAATATGACACTATATTCAGTATTTCAGTAACACTATATATAAATAACTATATACTCAGTTATTTCAGTAACACTATACTTCAGTAAAATTGTTTTAAAATAAACACATGCAAGTTAAACTAGGGAAAATATTTTAAAACAACAAAATAAATAAAGCAATAGGCTCAGATATAGTGCCACAGGGAGACAGTGGTAACACAGGCAAAACAGGTGAACAGTAGTAAGTAGTATGAACTTCCAGTTACAAATAAGTCACAGGGCAATAAAGTACAGCACAGGAAATACAGTCAGTGGTACTGTAGTAAGTTTGTATAGTGACAAGAGTAACTAAACCTACTGAGGTGACATGTCATAATGTATAAAAATACTGAATCACGGGGCACCTGGGTGGCTCAGTGGGTTAAGCCTCTGCTTTCGGCTTGGGTCATGATCCCAACGTCCTGGGATCAAGGCCTGCATTGGGCTCTCTGCTCAGCAGGGAGCCTGCTTCTCCCTCTCTCTCTGCCTGCCTCTCTGCCTACTTGTGATCTATGTCTGTCAAATAAATAAATAAATAAAATCTTTAAAAAAAAAAAAAAAACTAGGTTTGTATTTTTTTCTTTTTTCCTAAAGATTTATTTACATGCACGTGCACGTGCAAGAGCGAGCATGCAAGCATATACACAAGCTGGGGGGAAGGGGAAAGGGGAGAGGGAGAGGGAGAAGCAGACTCCCCACTGAGCAGGGAGCCCCATGCAAGGCTCCATCCCAGGACCCTGAGATCATGACCTGAGCTGAAGGCAGGTGTTTAACCAACTGAGCCACCTAGGCATCCCTGTATTTCTTTTTTAATTCACTGCATGTTTTGGTAAAATTACCTTAGGTCATGTCCAGTTGTACCATCTGTTTGCAAAGATGCAGATAGGCTGGTTCATTTACTTCATCTTAAATTTCTAGTTTTAATTATACATATTTGTCATTTAAAAAATCCTGGAAAATCTAAGTCATGTAACATACAGAAATGATACTATCTATATTTCTTGTAGCCTTTTCCTATATGGCTAAAAAGCTAAAAACAGTTTCATCTGTGAATTAATGAACAAGATGCTGTATTTACCTTCAGTTGTGTATCTGGTCCTTTTATGTGCAATTCTGCCCTCTGCTTTTTCAGCAGTGAGCTTTGAAGTCAAGAATTCAGCTGCTCCTGCATCGAAGAAAGTATTCCCAATAGCTTTATCTTTAATGGCCCAAATGACTTCACACCCTTCAATTTCATACCTAAAAGGAATATTAAAGTTACTCAGAGCAATTCTGAAAGTCTGAGTAGAAATCTCTGTATTTGCAAGTAATTATCTCTGAAGGCAAAAGTAAAGAAAGTACTTTAAGACAAACCGAGCAAGAATGATTATAAGGAGGAATGGAATACTCTTTCAGGATAAAAAGAGTTGAAGTAGAACAAGTAATAAAAGAAATTTAACCAGTTTACTGAAAGAACATAAAAATAACAAACATATGTAACTGAGTATCAGGTGAAATTTCATTACAGTGAACATCACTCTAAGCGGTCAATTTCCCCAACATAGTTACTGTATGAATGTTCTCCAGGGTTCCATGAATGAACAGTACTTTTTTGACGTGGTTATAGTATAACGAACGATGGATAGATAGATGGATGGTATACAGTTAAAATACTGAGAATACCTCACTTCTTTGGTAACAAGTAATTTGTGTACTCAAAGTGCAACATTATGGAAGGAGATAGGAAAAGGAGAGAATTAGAGTTATCAACTAAAATTTTAACTCTATTATAAAGAAACCACTACTCTCTAGTCTTCTCCCTTTGTCTCAGAAACTTCCAAGCCATCCAGCCAAAAAAAGATCGGCTCACAGAAAAGGAAGAAAGGAACAGCTGTGGTGTACATGGGCCATCACCATTCATGAGATGGCCAGGGCTCCTGCATATTGCTGTTTTATCTCTAGGTCTGGTCACCCAGAATGTGGTTTGCTTAGTATTCATCTCACCAAGTCCCTGAAGTCCATTAAGTTTTTCTTCTGTTAATACTTGTTTTGGTACAACTGATAAACTGGGACAATCCTAGACAAATAAGATATATGGTCATCCTAACTGTACTAGGATTTTATTTGAACCGGTAGTGGTACTAAGAGTATCATGTGTTAAGAACTATTAATGCTGACTTATGGTCAAAGTATCACCATCTTTATGTCACAGTCGCTATAACATAACACATGGACTTTTCAAGCTAATCAGTAAAGAGATGATACAAAAAATAAGGTTTAATACATCTCACTTCACATCATCTGATGTTCATGCTTTCTGACAATATGGTAAAAGATCCTCCTGTACCATCTAATGAGCCTTTATTATGTGTTCATAAATTCCTGCTTCACTATGGCAGAAAAAAACATTTACAGTTACTAAATTTCACATTCTTTGGAGAATATTCTATATGCTGCTCAGGTCATACAGGATTGCTGATAAGCAGAAAGTAGAATATACAAACATTCAGTAATAAATTTTATATCAATATACATATAGGCACATAGTTACTATGAAATTCTTTAGCTTTCACAAATTAGAAATTCCTCTACCATTTTGTAAAAACTTTAAAGTAATATAATAGTACAACGCATATCAGTATAGCTTAAAATACTGATGCTTGACTAGTAAGCCAGAGTAATAAGTAACCATGAGAACTCCTGTATGTGCCCCACCTGATAAGACACCCTGTACTCCCCTTAGCCTATGAGCTATACCCTTAGCAAGATACATCACCACAGAGGTCTCCTCACACAATAGCAGAAATACTTTCATTTTTAAGACCACCCTTAAAAAAACAGTGAAGTATGGTTTTGTGAAAGTATTAAAAAAAAAAAAAGGTTTTGAAAAGCAAAGGATTAACCTATACTAGTAAAGAAGGAAAGTACACTGAAGAAAATGAGCATTTGCCTTGGGGGATCATGAGGGCTACTGAAGAGCAGAAAGGGTTTGTGTGCATGATTTCTCATCATGACATGATGAACACCTGATCATCAGAGGACCTAAGCTGAGATAACAGCATTATATGTGGCCTTTCCTTAGGAGTTTTATCAAATTATATAGTCTATCTCCAACCTAAAGAAAATGAGGAACAGGACTAAATGTTGTAAGACTACGAACATTTCTGAATACAGGAAAATTTTCCAATGTAAAGAATAATAATATTAAGCTATACTTTCAGTAATCGTTAGTGGAGAAAATTTGTCATGTGCCTCCTCCCTCCTCTTCGTCCTGTTTGGTTTTGACTCTCTAGTTTTTCTGTTTGTTTTTCTCTGCAGTTCTCATTAGTGCCACAAACTTCATCATTTCAAGAATAACTGCCACTCTTAGTACTCAGGCAATTGAGGAACTCTTAAAAGCTTCCACTGGGATTCACCACCCTTTCAGAATAAGGAGCAAAAACCTAGTCCAACAGTTAGAATGGATAGGGCTTTGGAAAATTCCTCATTTTGATACAAATTTGTCCTGCTGTAGTTGGACTCCACTTTCTGGCCTGAAAATGTCCAGACAATTCCATGTCAGCCATCCGTTGGAAGATAAAATTACAAAGAAAATCAATGCTCTGTAAACCATAGCAGGGTATCGATTCCTCAATGTTTTCTGAACCTGAAATATCATCTTAAGATAGTATTTTAATTTATGTGTTCAATGTTTTCCGACTTCCAAAAAACGAAGAACTGGGAGTACCATATATCTTGAACTAGTGAGTCATGGGCCACTCAGGTAACCATATAAATGAGTGAAGCAGGATGGGTATAAATAGTAAGTGGTGGGGACGGTTATTAGAAATCTCTAAAAGTGTGTTTGTTGTTTTCAAGTGTTTTCAAATTGTTGTTCAAGATAGTACATGCTTACCAAACATATCTATGGGCCACATTTCTCCAGTCTCCTGTGTGTCACCCCTTGAGACAGAAAACATTCCCTAAGCTCATGTTGTGCAATGATATCACTGCAACTATGAACTCCATGAAAGCTAAAAATACAAAGTGGATATTTTCCTTCAAAATATATGAAAAACAATTACATTTATCTTTGAGTTTCAGAATACCAAGATGTTTCTAGTCTGCCAATAATCACACGAATCACAGAGCAGTGTTCAAATAGTATTTAGGGGACCTGGGTGGCTCAGTGGGTTAAAGCCTCTGCCTTCGGCTCAGGTCATGATCCCAGGGTCTTGGGATCGAGCCCTGCATCGGGCTCTCTGCTCAGCAGGGAGCCTGCTTACCTTCCTCTCTTCCTACTTGTGATCTCTGTCAAATAAACAAATAAAAAAAATCTTAAAAAAAAAAGTATTTAAAAATACATACTTACACCAGTTCAAGTGCAATGCCGCCATTCCCTATGATCATTATTCTTTTAGCTTTAGTAAGCTGTTTCTGAAATTCCTGTATTGAAAAGTACACAGTGTTCTGTAAGTAGTGGGCAAAACTTGAAGCAAGAGGCTTCACTGGTAATATTTTGAAAATATAGGAATTTTATCTGATTTTCACAGGAACAAAATAAATACCACTTGCCCACTCTGCCAGGACGCAATATTACAATACTTTGTAATATTACAAATACTTTGTTTCATCCAGGCTGTCTTCAAAGCAGTGCCTCTGCTGATTTCCCTTGCCTTTCAAGTCATTACATTTCAAGTCCTTACATTATATTACAGTCATTACATAGTTCAGAATTCCAGCAAAGTGGTACAACCTGTAGTTCATCATCACATTCCTGACTCCTTGATCAAATCAGTTTACTAACAAGAACTGATCTATATCTTACATATAGGGTTATTTCTTTTCACCTAGTCCTTCAGTTGACGCTTTCCCTGGAGTCAGTCAACACTCAAAACTTGCATGAATGAGCAGTGCAACAGTTTGGTGGTTAAGAGTCTCTGGCTCTAGGAGTTAGTAACTGCCCGCAATTAGTAACTTAGACAAGTTGCTTAACCCCTCTGCCCCTCTGGTTCTTCAACTACAAAGGGAAACAAGAAGTGACTCTATCTCATTTGGCCTCTGCAAGCATTAAGATAATGTAAATAATGCTGTTAGGGGCAGGCACAATAATGTCTAACATTTATCAGAAAAAAATTTTTGCTCTTATTATTATGAGACAACTAACTGATGCCTCTACCACCTTCCTCCTCTGCCCCCTAAAAAGGATCACAATGACCGTAAGGACGCCATGGTCATTTTTATGGCACTTTCAAAAGTAGCAGAATAGTCCCACTGCTTCACAGTGGTATCTGAATAGCCAAATTCCTCTTCCTACTATGTCAAGTTCTATTAAATCCTATTTCTATTAAATTCATCCAAAACTTTATTGTAATAGTCAATAAATAACTACTGAAGCTGACTTGTTTAAAATGTTACAAGAAAAAAAAAGAGTTAATTTTAGTTTGTCCTTCACTGAGGACAATAAGTAATTTAAGAAAAATCTGTTAAAAACATTGGACATAGAGATAAATGGTATGAGTTTAAATTGTACTTCTGATAGACTTAATAACTACTTTAGCACAGATAAAAACTTAATTTCTCCACCAGAGTTTCCTATTTGTAAAACGGGAGTAATACTGTTACACAGGATTATTATAAGCAGTTCATGTCTGCAGAGGGCCTCGCTGGAACATAGTTATGTACTCAATCTTTGATAATGGGAACCTGAAATGTTTATAATTAAATTATAATTTATAATTAAGTTTTTCTAGTTTTCTCTAAATTCCTATTTAATTAAGAACAGGCTGAAAAAAAATCAATTTTTAAGAATATAAAATGTTATCAAAAAATGTAAAATTTATCACCCTATGGGACAGAAGTAAAACAAGCTTGAGGTAAGACAGTATTATTATTGGAAACCAGGAAGAGCTTCTTGGCAAAAGGGTCAGTGAACTCTGGAAGCCCTTAAATCCACTACCAGAAAAAGTTGTATAAGGTTCCAGAGTTTCACCTTATTGGGATAGTTTACTACGGTTCCTGCGTACAACAAACCAAATGATTTTTTTCAGTTCTGGGATTCTGTCATGATTCTGTACCATAAAGATCTTCTCAATATTAATTTCTTTGCTAAGGGGTAAGTTCAGTAAGTTTGGGAAATGGTTTACCTTTTTGGAAGAAGATCATTACATTATTTAGATTACAAATCACATATTCCCAAACTACAGTAATGTATGTGTGTATAAGTTATAACCTCCAGCTTAGTTGTTATACCTGGGATACAATGCACAATGGAAAGAACACAGAACATCAGCATGAACTAAAAAAACAAAAATTATCAACCAAAGCTAAATTGAAACTGGCAATAACATAACTATTTTCTGGTTTATGGATCCTAAAACAAACCTCTTCTATAATTTAAGAATTAACACTTTAAGGAGAATACTTTGCTTCAAATATAGAAAAGCCTAAGAAATATTCACGTTCCTTTCCTATGACCCAACCTAAGAATGTTACCTGAGCACTGTCTGTATCACGGATTCCTAATACATAAGGATTTCCTTCACATATCAACTTTGGCTTAGCTCCAGCACACAGACAGAGTTTCTTATACACATGCTGACTGCCATCTCCTGTTACAATGCACTGTAAGAACATAGAGCAAAGAAGGAGAGAGAAGGAACATGTTCATCCATGGATACAACTTCACTTTAAATCAAAAATTCAATATGAGGAAAACAAAAAATACATTAAGGCTGACTCTTGGTGGCACTCTATTTTGTTACAGCAAATCAAATAAACAAATCAAAGTAAACGTGAGAATGCATTCTCCCATCATCATTCACCATCATTGTAGGGACATAAGCCATTCTGGGAATCTGGTGAAAACTAGTCTTTCTCCCCTAGGAAAAAAGGTATACTCACACCAGATTTTACATAAAACTCATGATATTCAGTGGGGTATTGTTGACCTCAGATTAAAAATTAAACATTCAGAAATTTTAAAAATGAGCATTCTGATATTATGCCTGGGGTAGGCCTTAATGAATATTTCCAATCTCAGTGGAAATTACTCTAAGAAAGATGTAGTAATTCTAATGATATCATACCTTAATACCTGGTATGGGTACAGGGTGGGTACAGTGTGGTAGAAAAGGGTACATTATCTAAAAACATTAGAAATGCTAAAAAATAGTATTTATATATATTCTTAAGTACAAATAACAATCACTTTACCAGCAAACATGCTCTTTGGGGATATTTTCATATAAGTAAAAAATATGTTAACCTTAATTCCTAGCATGTACTGGCTTTAAAGTTATTTCTATTAATTTTTAATGACATCATTGAGTCTAAAAATACATGAGAGACTATGGACTCTGAAAAACAATCTGAGGGTTTTGAAGGGGCAGGGGTGTAGGAGGTTGGGTGAGCCCAGTGGTGGGTATTATGGAGGGCACATATTGCATGGAACACTGGGTGTGGTACATAAACAATTCTGGTACACTGAAAAGAAATTTTAAAAAATAAATAAATAAAAATACATATTTGAGATCCACTGTTTTTGTTCCTTAGTACTGAATGAAAACCTACATCTAAATAGTAGCCTTTAGAAAGCATATATCTGTAAGTACATATGACTATGAGAGATACCAGACTTTGTCAGAGTGGTTTAGAGGTTAACACTGTGCCATGTGTTTGATTTATAAAACATGGCAACTCCTAACTGTAGCACTTGATACTCAAGGAGACATTTGTTACCTGTTGTAACTCTTCAGCTGCTTAACAAAAACAAAGCCAATAATTCCACACAGTATAACACACATAATTCTATAAAATCTTCCTGCAGATAATATGGTTAGAATTTTATCTAGCGAACATTAGTTATAGATCCTGACCAAATTTAAAAAATAATTTGGACTTAGCTACTGAAAAAACACACACAAGAACTCTTTTCATTGTTTACTGTTAAATTTTTAGAAGTAGACAAGACACATAATCTCTAATTCATTAAAGAATATAAAGGACAGATAATACAGACATGATCTCATTTAGGACACTTCAAATGGTAACGGGAGGCACTTAGATTTACTCAAATGCCCAAATATAAATTACCTCAATTTATTTACACATCTGAGCACACTTCTATTTGCAAATTAATTGACATGGATGTTATATATAATAGGTACTATATAAATATTAGAAATTTATTCTGGTTTTGGGATTCAGATTTTTAATCTTTTTCCTCATAAAATTCAGTACTTATTTATTTTTTCCTATCAAATTATTTGTGTTTTGAATGTATTATAAGTGTTTTTTCTCCTTAAGGGAGAGCTACTCTAGGGAAACAACTGCAAACTCTACTTCCCATCTTGCCTGAAGCTCATCTGAGGATACTGCTGATCATCCGACAATACCCTTTCCTGAGCCCGCCTTAGTAAGTCCCATGTCCAATGGGTTACTGGGTCCTGCTGACTTTACAGTAGAAATCTCATTCATATCTGGGCCATTCTTCCCAACTTACACTATCCCTGTCTTGGTTCAGGCCTTCTACCATTTTGGACTGCAACCACCTTCCGATTTGGCGGCTGGCCAACAGCCCCTCACTCCGCCCCACTTCCTCCTCAACACTGCTGTCAGATCTACCTTGCTAAAAGAGTATCCTATACAGTATCACCCTGCCTCGACCTAAAATCTCTTCATTCTTCCTTTGATTATCAAATAAATTTCTTGGCATGATGTAAAGAGCTCTTCACAGTCTTATTTCTTTGGCCTCATCTGCCAATCTTCTTTCCTTGTCCCCACCACAGTCTCTCTGACAGCGTCACTCTCCCACATGCCCCCTTCCTTTTCTTTGGGCCTTTGACTAAGCCACCTCCTTTTCCTAGAGTGCCCCTAATTAAGAACTCTTAATTTACCTACCTTTTAAACCCTGTTCAAATATTACTCCCTCTGTGAAGTCCCAAATCCCTAATATCAGAGCTTGGTAAGATTTCAGTGACTGTGCTTTTCACGTTCCTATAGTTACAGGTGCGCATGTGTATATTCGCTATGACACTGAACGCTCCCTGGGCAGGTGCCCTGTAATATTCCTGTTGTCTCCCAGCACTTAACGGGGTGCCCAGAACACAGCAGACACTGTATAAATGTTAATGCTCATGTAAAATGTAAAACCTAAAATGCTAAATCAAACTAATCATATAATCCCAATAACCCACAACAAGTATAAATTTTCCCAGTAATAATATAAACCAGTATCACTAAACTAGGGACCTTAGTGGTGGTGGTGGTGGTAGAGTCGGGGTCAAAAGAAAGCAGGCAAAAGCCTGTCAAGATTGAACAGGGGGTGTCAATAAGAAATAAATCCTCTTGGGCGCCTGGGTGGCTCAGCTGGTTAAGCAACTGCCTTCAGCTCAGGTCATGATCCTAGAGTACCAGGATCGAGTCCTGCACTGGGCTCCCAGCTCCAAGGGGAGTCTGCTTCTCCTCTCTCATGCTCTCTCTCAAATAAATAAAATCTTAAAAAAAAAAAAGAGAGAGAAAGAAAGAAAGAAAAGGAAAGAAATCCTCTTACATGTTCTTTACTCTTCAGTTCCTTTACTCCGGATTCTATAATTTTAATGTTGGGAAAGCGATTTTCTAACATGGTTTTTGGTTGCTCTTCAACATCAAACTCCTCCAATACTTTAGAAACCTGTAATAGATCATAAAGGTAAAAAATGCATGTTTAAGAAATATTTCAAGAATTTTATTTATTTATTTTTAAAGATTTTTACTTATTTATTTGACAGACAGAGATCACAAGTAGGCAGAGAGGCAGGCAGAGAGAGAGGGGGAAGCAGGCTCCCCGCTGAGCAGAGACCCCGATGCGGGGCTCGATCCCAGGACCCTGGGATCATGACCTGAGCCGAAGGCAGAGGCTTTAACCCACTGAGCCACCCAGGTGCCCCATATTTCAAGAATTTTAAATAATAAACCTTTGCATTTGTGTTTATATACTAGTTACTTCATATTCATAAAACGAAGTCGGCCAGTTGTACTATAAACAGCGTTAAGAGGACTAACTCCACATTTTAAGACTTGAACTCAAATATTGGTCCTACCACTCGGGCAAGTCAGCCAGGTCACTGTGCCTTAGTCTCCTAGCCTGGAAAATGAGGGCTGACTCTAGTCACTTCTGCATACTTTGACCACCAGCTTATTGACCTCCTTATCCTTACTGTTTTCTCTGTCCATTAACTAGCTAACTTTATGGTGATTTAGCCTTTAGACTCTTTCCTGCTGTCCAAACCCATTAGCATCCTCTTGGACTCCCTTCTCTTCCTGTGCAGCCATAACTCCACTGTAGATAATTTCATGTTTTGCCCCAAATTTTACTTCCTTGCTTTCTAATCTTTAACCATTAATTACCCTGAAAACCCCCAACAAAGATTGAACTACTGCTGCTTTTTCCAGTCCTATATACCTGGTCTGCTGTGGAAGGACTGAGCCTTGCAGACCGGCATTTGACCTCAGCTGCTACCTAAATACTACTGGGAAATCCTATAACATGGCCCTAGCAGTTCTCAAACCATTTAGTCTCAAGACCCCTTTACACACTTACAGATAACTGAGGACCCCAAAGAACTTTTGTCCATGTGAGTTAAGCTCAGTGATATCTGTTACCTTAGATATGAAAAATGAGAAAAATGTAAAATATTCAATTCAATTAGAAGTATAAGCAATACATGTTAAAGAGAAATAATATAATTTCAATAAAAAAATAACAATTTTTCCAAAAGAAATTAAGAAGAATGGCATTTTTCACATTTTTGCAAATATCTTTAATGTCTGGTCTTAACAGAAGATCTGCTTCTCCATTCAAACTATTACAATATATTAATTTGGCTGAAGTATATGCAGCCTTTTCAGAACTGTATATTCTTCTTTGATGTTACACTAAAACTCAACAAGCACATTTTCTTAAAGATTAGTTGCAATGTAGAATTTGAAACCATATCAAAGAATTTTTCATCCTCTCTAACTGTGAAATCCGCTGGTCTATCCTGCACTTGGAATGGATCTCAAAACATCACATTCGTCATGTGGACAATAGTGGTTCCCTAAGTTATGGAGATCTTCCCAATGTTAACACATTTTATATCACTACAGTATCAAAAGATCACATTACTATCACCAACAATCTCATTAGGAAAGGCTTTAAGTACCATGAGACTCACAGTTAGGAAATGAGTTTTCCAAAATTCTAATTCTGGCTGGAAAGCTCTAATTTTGTCCTATTGGCAACAAATACTGTCACTTGTTTTCCTTGAAGTGACAGACTCACTTCACTCATTTTCCAAATATGAATTACTATAGTGTGTCAGTTGTTCTTTCAAGTAAAGCTGGTGTCCATGAAAGAGAAATTAGTTCCTCTCACAACTCAGCAACTGCACATCTGCTTTTCCTTGAGACAATACTACTCCTGTGCATAGAACAAGTGCTTTATGCATGCAGACCATTTCATCATACAGAGTATGAAAAAGATGTACACTTAAAGCCAGGATTTAATAAAACTAACATTTTTTACTGGCTCTAATTTATTTAACTGGGTGTGTGGCAGTGAAGAATACAATGACCTCTAATCCAGTTTAGCCACTGTTACTCTTATACCATTGGTGTTTAAGCATCAACATAGTGAGAAGAGTAACATCTAAGTAACATCTTCCATCCCTAAGTAATTTTCCGAAAGTTCATTATTCTAATGTTTCCCAAACACATTACATTCTCTGCATTCCCAGCAAATCACCTTACCTCTAGGCTTAAAGGGACTACTAAGAACTCTTACTACTTCTTTCCCACCATCCATATAATTCTTGGCTATAGTCTGCCTTCCTTGACCCATTTCTACCGTTTCAATTGAATCCAGTAATCTGTGCTCTATATGCCATCATGACTTACCTCCTCAGGACTTTTATTATGTATTCCTTGTTTTCCTTCATCTTCAGCCTTCCCTCTTCCCTACAGGCTTTTGTGTGTGTGTGTGTTTTAAGGTTTTATTTATTTATTTGAGAGAGATTGAGTGAGAAAGCATGAGAGGGTAGAAGGATAGAGGGAGAAGCAGACTCCCTGCTGAGCAGGGAGCCTGATGAGGACCTGATCCTGGGACTCCAGGATCATGACCTGAGCTGAAGGCAGTGGCCTAACCAACTGAGCCACCCAGGTGCCCTTCCCTACTGGCTTCTTAATCTCAACAGGTAAACATGCTAAAGTGTTTTCCACCTTTAAAGCTTAAAACTCAATGTAATGCTAGTCCTCATGTCCTCGATTTGCTGCCACTCTATCTTTTCTTTCTTCGCAGCTAAATGTCAAAAGAGAAAAGTTTATGTTTACAGTCATTTTAGAGTTAACCCCCTATTAACTTCTGAAGATAGTGTAAACTATCTCAAAGTCACCAATGATTTACTAGAAAGGAGCACTTCTGAGTCCTTGTCTTTCCTGACTATTCCCCTGGATCTGACAACTTTGACTGCTTTTTTGTAACAAAGATTTTATTTATCTATTTGCCAGAAAGAGAATGAGAGCAAGCAAGCACAAGCAGGGGGAGAAACAGGCTCCCCACTGAGCAAGGAGTCTGATGCCGGACTTGATCCCATAATCCCGGGATCATGACCTGAGCCAAAGGTAGATGCTTAACTGACTGAGCCACCCAGGTGTCTTGTGACCACTCCTCTTAAACTTTTGTTTTCTGTGGATTCAAGGGATACCCCTCTTTCATAGTTCTCCTCTTCAATCTAGACTAATAAGGGTGGCCATTTTCAGGTCTTCCTTTCTCTCTTATCTTCTTTAAATGTCAGTGTTCCACAGGGCACTGCTGCTGGGTTCTCTCACTGTATGTATTCTTCCTGGGAGATTGCTCCCCATGCCTATGGCTTAGCTGACACCGAGACTATGATGAATACTAAATTTCTATCTCCAATTCAGCATTCTCGCCTGCTGAAGATGCTCCAAAAGTTTGGCAACATCTAAATTTTGATAAAATACAATTCCGTACCATAGCATACAACCCCATCATGGTCTGGCCCCTGGCTACTGGTTCGACCTCACACTTCACACTCCAGCAGCATTAAATTGGTACCTGTTAGAGTGTATTACATAGCAATATACTTTATGCACCTTGGCAAATGCCTGCCTCCATTCAACCTCTTACAAACATGGGAAAACCTACTATTCTTTCAGTCTCAGTTTCAATACACCCTCCTATGTAAAGCCTTTCTGGATTCTTAAAGCCAGGCTTTGGCACTCATTCATAATATATTTATAAAAATAATTATGCATATATTATAGTATGACCTCAGTTTTTTTTTGCCACTATCAGTATAATTACCATACTGTATGATAACTACGTCTTACAGATTTGTTACCCAATAGAGAGGAATTATTCTGAGAAAGTGCTACTCATTAACCATGAGGGCTATGGAGCCAAAGGGCCTGTATTCAAAACCTATCTATACATATCTCAGAAACTTACCCAACTTCACTGTGACTCATTTACCTCATCTGTAAGTGGGGATAATATACGAACCTACTTCACAGAGTTACTTAAGGATTAAATTAATACATTTAAAACATTTAGATGAGTGTCTGGTACATAGTAAATACTCCATAAGTAATATGAGTTATTATTAGTAAAAATTAGTACTTTCTCCTTTAGAAATTACACAAGCCACAAACTTTAACATTAACATTTAACATTAAACAAATAATTCCTGATAAAATAAAATGTGCCTCTTTACCGTTCTCTGAATCTCACACTATCCCACCACTACTGCTGTCCCCTGACTCCAGAGATAACCATTAGTGACTTTTCGGTATAAGCTCTTTCAATCTCTGTATTCTGGATACCTAGCACACTGGTTGATATATAAGTGTTTGATAAATGATAAAAAGGATGCAAGTTCCTACTTCTTAATATTACAAATAACTAACACTTGCATAATATTTGTTATTCTAATACACTTTCACATATATTAGTATATCTTAAACTCCCAACTTATACAACTTTAATACTTCTTAAGCAAGGAAGATATTATTACCTTACTATTACAAGTGAAGCAACTGAGATACAGATTTGCCAAGGCTACATAGCCAGTAAATAAATTAGGTCTAGAACCCAAGATTGTTTTCCTTCTAGTGTACAAAATTTACAAAATAAGCAAAAATTGAACTCAAGTCTTACAACTGTGGAATAGTTACACCAAATTCAGTCTTCTGGAAAAACACTTGTAAGACCCAGCTATATATCTTTCTCTTATGTACGTGCTCTAAGCCTATAATTGAATGTATATTTTTTTTCTTTTAAGAGATTAATAGCCATAATTTATTCTCTGGTTCTCCCAAGTCCATAAGTCCTTTGGTGTACCTAGGTAGTAAGATACCTTAAGTATCTCTAAGCAGGTTGTAAACAAACTATATTGCGCTTAATTACCCTTGGTCTTAGAGGTTTACAACATGAGAAAGTTTTATTTTATTATCAGGATGTAAGGGAAAACTTGTATTAAAGACTATGGTAGTATTCTTCACTGAGGTATGGAAACAAAAGACTTACTTAATTTTTTGCATAGCATTATAACATAATTATAGCACAATATATGCATAATTTATAAATATGTAAATATATATATATTAGGACATACATCAAAACTTTTTTTGATGTGAGGTACCACATCAAAAATGTTTAGAGCTAACTCTTCTATGATACTATTAACCAAATGATCTCAGACTCTCATTGTAATGATGTGTGTAATGAAAATTCATGGAACTACAAAGTGTTCTGAGATGCTTATTACATATCTGAAACATCTGCACATGTAAACTTGGCTGAGAAGCACTTTTCTGATTTGCAAACACGTACACTGTATATGTATGTATATATACAACTGCGTGTGTCTGTGTATATATATATATAAAATGATATCCAAATACATTTGTAATCACATTTGTATAACATTTTTCCTCAAAAACACTTTATTTAAAATTTTCTCAAAAGTAATTCTGAGTGGGAGGAAAAGATGGGAAGAAAATAAAGGACCAGAAATTCAACATCATTTGGGTGCTCTCGATATTCAATATATAATTCTAAACTTTGAGCTTTGATTTTAAAATGACTATCAAAAGAATATTTGTCATTTTAAACATTTAAAAACTATAATTACACTAACTACTACGTAAGATACTGAAATTTAAAAACATTAATACTAAGAAAGTTATACAAAGGTTCTTACCTGCTTGAAATTTGTAACTGCTTTAATAACAGGAGAAGCTGTTACCAGGAGAATATCTTCTGATGGAAACAGAATAGCCAACTTATTAAAAAAAAAAAAAAAAGTTGGGAGAAAATACATGATAAATAACTTTAGGTATTATTATATATACCATGGAGGGTGAGACAGGGATAATGCAATTTTAACAATGTTATTAATCTAGGAAACTATAAACTCATTTTTCCACACTTAAAGGTCTCCATTATTCTTATTTATGGGGCAGTGGTGAGTAATGTTCAACACTGATACTGATAAAACAAATAATACATTTACACTAAACACTAACAAAGCCTCCTGAACAAGAAAAATGATACAAAGATGTATTCCTTATTTACTTAAACTATCTTAATACCAATTCAAAGTTGTCATGCAGAGAATGAGAAGAAAATATTTTCCTAAATAACAGTTAAACCAACTTTTATTTAATTTTACTTTTTTATTAATTATTTTTATTAACATATAATGTATTATTTGCCCCAGGGTACAGGTCTGTGAATTGTCAGGCTTACACATTTTACTCAACTTCTATTTATTTTAAAATAATATTTTCATTTCCCCACAGTAGGATAATATTACAGCACATCCTACTAATAAACACTCAGAATCTTAGCCTGACTTTTCCCAAGTGCTTTGGCATTGCTATTCTGCCTCTTCCAAATGCCCAACCAGTATACACTCTGGGAAAACAAAACCATTTTAGTATTAGCTTCAACAGAATTTAGAGGCTTAACTTGCTAATTGTTTCATCATTTTCCTCTGGTTACAACCTCACTCTCTCTAAACTTGAAAGACTTTTCTTAAATCACACTCTGGTTCCTAAACTCTACCAATTTCTAGTTCTTTCCCTACTATACCATTAAAACTGAGTATGTTCAACCAAAAAAACTATTAGAATGAACAAATGAATTCAGTAAAATTTCAGTAAAAAAATACAAAACTGATACACAAAAAGTGGTCACGTTTCTATATGCTAATAACGAGCTACTGGAAAGAGAAATTAAGAAAACCATCCCATTTACAACTGAATAAAAAAGAATAGAATACCTAGGAATAAATTTAACCAAAGATGTGAAAGACCTACATTCTGAAAACCATAAGCCACTGACAGAAGAAAATTAGGAAGACATAAATAAATGGAAAGATCTATCATGCTCATGGATTTAATATTGTTAAAATGTCCACACTAACCCAAAGCAATCTACAGATTCAATGCAATCCCCATCAAAATACCAGTGGCATTTTTCACAGGATTGAAAGAAAGAATTCTAAAATTTGTATGGAACTGCAGAAGACCCCAAATAGCAAAGCAATCTTGAGAAAGAATAACAAAGCTCGAAGTATTATGCTATCTGATTTCAAACCCTACTACAAAGCTGTAGTGATCAAAATAGTATGGCACTGGCACACAGATCAGTGGAATGGCACAGAGAGCCAAGCCCACATATACGATGGTCAATTAATCTCTGATAAAGGAGGCATGTAACAGGGAAAAAAATTCTCTTCATAAACACTGTTGGGAAAACTGAACAGCATACATGCCAAAGAATGAAACTGGACCACTATCTTATACCTTATACAAAAATAAACTCAAAATGGATTAAAGACATGAATATAAGACTCGAAACCACAAAACTCCTAGAAGAAAACATAAGCAATCAGCTCTTTGACACCAGGCTTAGGAATATTTTTTGAACCATTCACCTCAGGCAAGGTAAAACAAAAAGCTAAAAAGCTAAGACAAACGAAATTAAATCAAACTAAAAAGCTTTTGCAGAAAAAAGGAAACCATCAACAAAACAAACAGACAACCTACTGAATGGGAGATGATACTTGCTAGTCATATCCAACTGGGGTTAATATCCAAAACATAATAAAAAATTACACAACTTAATATAAAAAAATTTAAAAATGGGCAAAACTTGAAAAGACATTTTTTCCAAAGAAGACCTATAGATGGCCAATAAACACATGAAAACATGCTCAACATCACCAATCACCAGGGAAATGCAAATCAAAACCATAATGAGATAAACCTCAGAACTGTCTAACTGGCTATTATCAAAAAGATAAGAAATAATAAGTGTTGGTGAGGATGTGGAGAAAAGGGAACCATTGTACACTGTTATTTGGAAGGTAAAATGGTGCATCTCCTATGGAAAACAGTATGGAGGTTCCTCAAAAAATTAAAAACAGAACTACCATATGATTCAGCAATTCCACTTCTAGGTATTTAGGAGAAGAAAACTGAAACACCAGTTTAAAGAGATACATACATTTCTATGTTCACTGCAGCATTATTTACAATAGCCAAGATATGGAAGCAACCTAACTGCCCACTGATAGATGACTGAATAAAGAAGATGTGGTATAAATATCAATGAAATATTATTCAGCTATAAGATAAAATAAATCTTGTCATTTGTGACAACATCAATGGACCCAGAGAGTAATTATGTTAAGTGAAATAAGTCAGAGAAAGACAAATACTATATAATTTCACTTATTTGTGGAAACAAAAGAATAAAAGAAAGCAAAACAGAACTCATAATACAGGAAACAAACTGCTGACTGCCAGAGTGGAAAGGGGTTGGGGGTGGAGGGGAGTTGGGCAAAATAGATTAAAGGAATTAAGAGGAACAAACTTCCAGTTATAAATACGTAAGTCATAGGGATGTAATGTACACCATAAAGAATATAGTCAATAATATTGTAATAACTTTGTATAGTGATAGAGGGTAACTATGCCTATTGAGGTCATCATTTCATAATGTATGAAAATATCCAATCACTATGACATATACCTAAGACAATACCGTATGTCAATGACTCAATAAGGGGGAAAAAAGAACATCTTCAATTCACCTATACATCCTTAAACTTCACCAGATTCTTTTCAGTATCATCTCATTTGAACTTTCTATAATATTTGATAATATTATCCCTCTTTCCACCTTTCTTTTCTTTGTATATTCTGTAATTTATTTCCCCACTTTGTTTGCACTGGTACATCTGGCCCTCAAAATTTCTTTATACTACTAAATTCACCTTTCAATTGGCCTTCCAGTCACATTTTAACCAGCTGCCCCTGGCCCAAATGCATTGGAACAAACCACCTCTCATAATATTTCATTTGATCACATTAGGCCACTGTTCCAAATCATCTCACTACCTGCAACTTCTTGCTAAATTCTTAGCAAGACTTATATACCCCTTTATGATCTGGTCTCTGCCAATCTTCCTACCTTCATCTCTGGTCACCTCCTCCAAACACCATGTTCTTTAAGCTTTGCCGCTCTTAGGTAATGCCATACTTTTCCCACCTGAGATTATATCCTTGCCTCCCTTTGGACCCTCTGGTTTTTCTTGTCTATCTGGTGAACTTTTACTCAATTTTCCATACTAAGACAAAAGGCCACTCCCTCCCTGATTTACACCCTGCCAACTCCACAGGCACCCCTAAATTGGAAAGATTTATTTACATGTCTTCCACTAGACTGTGAGTTCTAAAAAAGGAAGTAGCATGCTTTGTTTATATATAACTAATCAGCCCTTAGTACAATGCCTGGATCATAGCTGTTTACTTGGTGAAAAAAAAAAAACGGAAAATAAAAAAAAAACCTAAAAATTAAAAGTTTGCAAAAATCTCTTGAATTTCTTGCTCTACTTCTGTGACTTCAGTAATTGCTTATGTTTACTTTATATCAACGGAACAGTCCTTTTTGGAATGTACACAGGTATATATATTGTCTGATTATTCACTAAAATCAGAAAAGCAGTCCTAGCTACATTTAATCTATTGCTGGTTGTTTTACAAAACATAACTGGAGATGAAATCTCTTCCATCATGTAGAGACTAGAAGTGTAGTCTGAAAAAGTATAAGAGAAAACGTTAGAGGAGTTTATCAGTTACTTACGATGAACTAAGAATCGGGCATCTACCTGAAAGCTGAATTCAATCAGTTAATTAAGAAAAAGGGCTCAATTTTCTGACCAAGTACTTACTGGTTTTTAGCCCTCTTGCAGCTCTGACATAACCAGGACCAGAATCTGGTTCAGTCAGCTTTGGGGTCCCCTCCCAAAACCTTGCTCCCCACTCTTCCCTGAGCCCAGGGCGAAGCTTGAGAGGCTCTGACAACCTCGACCAGGGACCACCACGCAGTCTCTAACACTGGCAGCAAGAAGGAGTGCGGCGGGAGGGAAGCGGCCAACGAGGGACTCCGGGGTCGGGAAAGCGGCGGGGCTCTGTGCGCCAGCCTACCTGTTCAGCACAGGTGACACCCGCGATACCACCACCGACCACCACAAACTTCCCGGCCGTTGAGATAGGCCGGGCTGCCTCCATGCTCTCAGATTCCCACTGCCTTACCAACAACCAGTGGGCGACCCGCGGGGCCTTGTACTCCGGGAGCGGAAGTCACGCTAGGCCGCCACTTCCGGTGCCGGTGCCGAGCCTGAGACTGCGCTACGGGTGCCCGGCAGCTCACACTTAGTGTCCTTGAGTTTGCGGTTCGGACCGCGATTCCCAAATCCAAAGACGTTTCTCTGATTCCAGAGTTTTCTTTTACTGCCAGTCGCCTGGATGTGGTTTTTCCACATAGTTTGATAAGGAGAAGACACAGAACAAAATAAAAGAAGAGAAAGTAAAGAGGATGGGTCGCCAAGGGAAGCTCAGCAAATTCTCTAAACACAGACCAGAGTTCTCACAGGACAGAGCATTCTCAGAATAAGTGAACCGCCCCTATTTTCACTATTTATTCTTAGGAGAAACTTGATATAGACTTAGCTTTTAAACTCTTATGTCACAGGCAGTATCATCCTTTCTTACCTTTCGCCTAGCAATCCAAGATTTTATATTTTAGAAGCACATCTGTCATGGCATATTAAAGCAAAGTAAAGCAATACTACTGAATTGTTCTGAGAAGTTATTTCCATTTACAGTTTTGACCTCAGCGAAAATTTCCAGTACTGTAGAGAATTGCTCGCCATTTTGTCAAAATAAATGAACATTCTTCCAAAGTGTCTAGTAAATAGTATGTGTGAAGGCGGAATTAAATATTCCCAATCTTGGCAAATAATACATTATATATTAATAAAAATAATTTTAAAATAAGTAAATATATAAATACTCCCAATCTTATTTTTACTGCTAATACGTTTCATTTATTTTGAGAAATGACTAAATTTTTTTAAAGTTTTTTTTACTATATTCACATTACAGTTCACTATTTTCATTATTTTGCTAATTATATTACCTTTACTATCTCATATAATATTTTCCCTTAGTGCTTTACTATAATATTAAGAAGGTACAATTTCTCTAAATGGCTCACTCTAAAACTGCTAATTATGACCCCCCCCCCCTTAATGCTTTAAACTCTGGAAATAACCATTCTATATAAATAGGAAAACCTACCATGTAATTACAGATATTTACTGATATCCTAGTAATTACTGTGTTTTAATAAAGTAAATAGTAGGGAGTTCAAAGTGATTCTAATTCCTATTACCAGCTTAGAAAACCAAACAATATGTTTCTAGAAAGAGGAAATAGTACTTTAAGCCCATTGAAATCTAGTCTTGTTTACTCCTGTAGCTTCTTATTTTCACATGATCTCACTCACTCTGCTCTATCTATATTGAACCATACTGGCAGCATCCAAGATTTGGCATGTTCTTTTTTTTTCCGAGCATTTGCACATAACTTTTTTTTATAATGCTTTTCCTCCAACTGATTTCCCTAGCTAAATCCTCACTGACCTTTGATTTCAACTAGCCATCACCTTCCTCCCTAAGAAGCTTTATCAAATGTCCTTAAGACTGAGCTAGGTGTTCTCTCTATATGCTCCAATAGCACCTCGTCAACCTCTGAATTTAGACTTGTAACACCTTATTTTAAAACTACCTACTATCCCACCTGACCCTATCCCCCACCACCATAAACTCCTTAATCTCAGGGATTATTACTAGTCTCCCTTTATATCCTCAATCTTCAATTAGTAGTGAGTGCTCAGTGTAGATGTCCTGAATGAATTAGTAATTAGGTGGAGCATGGAACGGCCAGGAAATCCTCTAAAGACCTTTAGATTCATTTTCTAGGGTCAAGATCCTCCTGTGTATTATGAAAGCAAATCCCCTTGAGGAAGGGCAAAGAGAACAGCCTGGAACTCAGAGGAAATGGAGAAAGTCCACTGGAATGAATTATTATTTACTTATCTTGATACTTAACTATTTTCCATTTTAGTGTATAAGACAATATTTTAACATTACCTTTACACTGAAGGTAAGAGAAATTCAGATTGTTTTCTGATGAATAAGTATAATATTTCCCACAGCTAGTTATTATAGTAAGGGAAGAGAAAGGAACAACACTCTGTATTATTACTTTTTGTTTATTGAAATTGTAGATCCCATAAAATAAATGGAAGTATAAAGAAGGTCTAGCATATTTCCTTCCAAATGAGAAAAACATTAAATTATAGTATCAAATGAATTCAGTTTATTTTAGTTGACATAAAATACTGGCATTAGAAATAGTTGTATCAAAGAATTTTATCTGTTTTAAAAAGAAAAAAATTACATCGTTTCAAATAATACTGCAAATACTATTTATCTTTTCTATTAATTTTGTTTCTGTGTTCACGTTAACCCAAGGCAAATTTATATGAAAGTTTAGCCAAATTTCTCCATTTTAGTCCTGAAAATACTTTCAGGTTTACGTGGGACTTTGAATTCTAGCCATCAAAATGATCTTGAGTCAAAAAATTTTCTAGCAACTATGATTCCATAAGGAAATTCACATGTCTTCTTAAGATTTGGGAGACAAAAGTTTAACCAATTTCTGGTTTGGTTCAGATGAGGTTATTTATTGTATGAATCACGATTTTGAAGGGTAGCTGTTTAAAAAAATTTTGTATAACATCAAAAAATATTATTATTGTGGTTATGAAATTGCATTCATAAAGGGAAAAGTTTTTCTTCAGGAGGATGAAACATGTGTTTAAAGAGATACATTAGCTGGCTGTGCAATGATTCATTTTTTTGACATGTTGAAGTAATCTAATGTATTACCAGTTATAGAATGGTTACAGCATCTGGTGTTTGTAGGAAATTGAACACCTATTTATTTTCTCTTTTGTTTAGTCCCAGACATCTGCCCCAGGATCCCACACTATCTTTTTTATAAATTTATCAATGCTCCATCTGAAAAGGAATATTAATGTAAATTATCAGATAGCCATGACTTATGGAATCATAATGTAATGATCTTCCTCATATTTAAAAGTAAATTAGAAATTACCGGCTTTGCAGACCATATGATCTCTCTCATGACTACTCGACTCTGTCATTGAAGCATGAAAACAGCCATAGATAATATGTAAACAAATTAGCATGACTATTTTCCCATACAACTTTATTCATGGACACAGAAATTTGAATTCCATGTAATAGTTTCATACTTTTTAAAAAGATTTTATTTATTTATTTGACAGAGAGAGAGAGATCACAAGTAGGCAGAGAGGCAGGCAGGGGGTGAGAAGCAAGCTCCCTGCTGAGCAGAGAACCCGATGCGGGGTTCGATCCCAGGACCCTGAGACCATGACCTGAGCCGAAGGCAGAGGCTTAACCCACTGAGCCACCCAGGCACCCCAGTAGTTTCAGACTTTTTAAAAATTTATGCATTTTATATTGAGATAGTGGAAGATACACAAGCAGTTGTAGGAAATATACAGAAAGATCTATGTACCCTTTTCCCAGTTTCCCCCAAAGGTAGTATTTTGAAAAGCTACAGTACACTATCACAACCATTTAGAACATTTCCATCACTGCAAGGATCACTAATGCTTCCTTTCTATAGCCACATTCTCCTTCCCTACCGCCCTCATCTACTCCTTAATTGCTGGTAACCATTAATCTGTTCTCCACTTCTATAATTTCATTATTTAAAGAATGTTATATAAATGGAATAAAACAATAAGTAACATTTTAGGGTTGACTTTTTTCACTCAGCATAATTCTCCAGAGAATCAAGGTTGTTCCATGTATCAAGAGTTAAATGCTCTGTTTTAAGTAGAAACTCCCTTACCTTTTAAATCTTTATAAATAACTGTTCTATATACTGTGACTGAAATTTCCAGTATCTGTTGTTCTCAGTGGTCTGATTCTGTTTATTTCTTCTGACTCTCACTCAAAGAGATCTGCTTTCCCATTGTTTGTGTGCCTAATTATTTTATCTTAATCATGAAACGAAATTAAAATACATTTTTTTCTCCAGGTAGGATCTCCTTCTTCAGCTGACACCCAGGGACACCACTGACTTGGAAACTTCATCTAAAATTTTGGCTCAGTGAAGGAGACTCATATTTAGTTTCTTTCTGTTGTTTTTGGACTAAGGTATAGCATTCCAATATTAGTATTGTTCTTGTCTTCATCCTTAGAGTAACCTAGGTAAAGGGTGGGAGTGGGAGTAGGGTCATAAAGTTTTGCCATTCTTTGGCAAAACCCTCCCCTACTTCTGTGGAGACCCATGCTAGGTTGGAAAAAAGTATGTTTTTTTTTTCTGGAAGCTGGAGGTGTTCTGAAGAAGATATTGTGTAGTGAGACAGTCTCTCATCGCTCTTATATGACATAAGGCTCAAAGCAAAGCTCAACATTCTAATTCTGTAAGTTTGTTGATTATCCTTAAATTTCTTTTTTTAATTAAATTTAATTTGTGTGTGTGTGTGTGTGTATTCCAAAATTCATTGTTTATGCACCACACCCAGTGCTCCATGCAACACATGCCCTCCTTAATACCCACCACCAGGCTCACCCATCCCCCTACCCCCTTCCCCTCCAAAACCCTCTGTTTGTTTCTCAGAGTCCACAGTCTCTCATGGTTTGTCTCCCCCTCCAATTAAATTTCAATACATATGTGCATTGTACTTTTCTAAAATGTGTATGCTTCCATTAACCTCCCAAACAATTCAAGAAATTTAGCATGATTTAACTTCTCTTTGATATGCACCAATTCCCATCTTTACACATAGTTTTGGTCATTGAGTAAATATACTAATTCATACAGTTTTTATTTTTTTTATATTTTGTTTAAATTTTCTAATGAGTTGTTTTAATAAATTGTTTTTAATGAATTGTTTTTATCAATATCAAAATTATGTATATATAAATGACAATAATTTTGCAAAACTTGCAACAAAAATAATAGTATTTGTCACTTGTCCCCATTTCCAAATAACCCTTCATTAAAGAAGGGTTTTTTTTTTTTAAATAAAAACATCATTTTTTGTTTCTTATCAGCATCACTTTTTTTTTTTTAATCTAAGTAACTGGCTTTATACTTTTTATCTATTCCTTCCTA